AGCAGGAAATTTAGACAAAATGCTGGCTAGTTGGTGAGATAAAGTTCTCTCACTGAAATCTGCTCACTTTTGTTTGGTTTGCGTTTTTTTTATTTTGTGGTTTTTTGGGGTTTTTTGTTTGTTTGTTTTTTTTTTTTTACTTAAACAAAAACCAAACCCAATTCATTGTTAAGCCCATGGTTTTGATGCTGCTGCAGTGTACGAACATACTCGTTCTGGTCCTGACCAAAAGCTCTGCTGCAGGAACAGAATCTCATGTGTCAGTACTTTCAAAACCAGACTGCAAGTTAAAATGGACAGAAATGCTGTAGAGTTACCATAGCATCAGCTTATTTTGCAATGGTGTAGATTTTCGAAAATCTCAGGAGATACACATAACATCTGGAAACAAACCTGACTGATTTGATGACACTATGAAGGGGGACAGAAATGCCAGCGAAGTGCTGAAATGCAAACAGACTAAGTAGAGCTTTAAAGCGTACACTTGAAGCGTATAGTTGGTTCTCTCTCAGACAAAGTGGAAAGTTGGAATGCAAGACTGATTTCTGCAAGACAGGTGTGCAAAAGATGTAATGTGAATAAAGCAATACAAACACCCAGATCCCAAAGTTCTGGCTTTTCTTCATAGATTTGTTTTTCTGAAGCTTTTTATTAAAAATCATCAACCTCATAAGGTCAAAGTGGTTTTCCCAGCAGAGGCTGCCAATCAAAATGACTCAATGTTTTCCTTTGTCCAGCCTTGTGGATCCTCTCTCTCATTGGAGAAAATAACTAATTAGTATGCATCAAGCAGCATAGCGTACAGGTTCAGAAACCAATAGCTCCTCTTATCAGCTGCCAAACATGTAATCCAATTCCACTTCAGGAGGCAAAGATTAACATCGTGGGAGTAAGAATAAGCCAAGTAAGCACAAGCAGCCAGCAATGTAAGCCCTCGAAGCTGAGGTATTTGCCTTGTTTCTCCTTCTCCCAGAGGTGTCCCTTCAGCTGGGATATAGGTTTCCCTCCCTGTGCGGCACTATACTGAGGATATCACCAAGGAGAGGTAAATGGGTAGGTAGGGGTTGCACAACCCTCAGGAGAGCACTGCTGAAGTTAATGAGTGACCACAGTAGCTTCCTGTAAAGTTTAAAAGCTTCTTCTGTTTCAGGTTTGAGGATATTCAGATATGGCCCAGGTGGATCCCAGCTACTCCTATGAAGAACACAGTGCACCCAGGCTGTATGTCTGCATCATCTCTCACCTATTAGGAGGAGGCCCAGCCTTCATGCGTCCTCCCACCAGAGCCAAGAAGTCTGTTTTGAATTCTGTTTTGATGATGTTGTTTTCCACTTCTTTTTCAGCATTTCCTGTTCTTCCTTGCTGAACCTATGGAAGGCAATATATAAGACACAGGTTTAATACCCTTACTTTCAACTGAATGTAGCATCAGAGATTAAATCTCAGCAAAGGAAAAGGGCTCCCTTGAGGAACAATCACAAGGCTCTTGCAAACAAGCAACCTATTCTTCAGTCAAGGCGGCAGACATTTCTGTAAACTAGCTGGCTATTCCAGCCTCAGCCTGCTGTCCGTTGTCTCCTGTTAGAAGTCCAAAAGTTTAATAATTTCATATCCTTTTTCATGTAGTCCTTAAGTCAAGACTGGAAATAGTAATACTTGCTGTATTGACTCTTTGGCTGAAGTTCTGATTAATAGCTGTTGGCCACCTGATGGACTTCTGCAAAGGTTGATGGCCAAAGCAGTCTCCAAACACAAAAGGCAGCCACACAACTGCAACAGTCAACAGCAACAAGCAAAACAGCCATGGATGCCCAGGTCCCCTCTCTACACCTCTCACATCCACAGGATCTTCCAACCAGACATCCTTATAGCTGGGTAGCCTCAAAGTCAATTGAAATTCACTCAAGTCTTACTACTCTAGTGGTTTGAACCTGCCAGGCAGCTGGAACTGTTCATTCCATAGAGAAAAGATTTTTAGCAGAGAGATTTAATCTTTAAAGATACATTTTTGTATTTCGCATCACTGAAAGGAACACAGAACAGTTAGGTAGTAAGGTATCTTCTGCCCTTATACTCTCATCTCTGTGATTACAAAAGCAAGTCCCAGTTTTATTGTAGCCATCTACAGGAGTAACACGTCACCTACCGTGATCTTATTTTCAGTGCTGATGGGAGGAGCAGGATCCAGTCCAAGCTGAAGCCGTCGCTGCTTTTCACAATAAGCTTTCCATGTTTCTTCATTGAATCCATAATTAAAGTAATCAGAAAGATCAGCACCTGACAAAGGGAGTAGAAGTTAACATAGGGATTCTAGCAGACTTGCATTCTCAAATTGTCCTTTAACTACTTAAATGAAGAGTTAAGAAAACAAAAATCTTCTAGAGAGCACAGCTCCATTTCAGAAAGCCACTGCAGAGATGGCTGCATCTTTTGGTGGCAGTGGGACTACAGCCTGAACAGCAGTGGGACCATTTGGGACATAGAATACAGCACGTATGCAGGCTATTAAGAGATGCTTGCAACCACTTATTCACCAACTGGATTTATTCAGACTGGTTTCTTGCAATAGCCCAAATGAGTTGAGTGCTGGGGAGAGCATGGTTCCAGGAATGATGGTTCCAGATACCACCACAGAAATGGGATGGTGCCACAGAATCATTTTCTTGGCAGAGCTAAGCCAACACGTTCCTCTCCTGACCGTCACTGCCTTTGCTGTTTTGAGAAGAGATTCTGGGACTCACCCATTTCGTGAAACAGGGCTGAAGTGGAAGTTTTTTATTGACACGTCTCAGACTACAGAAGTAATTACAGTTCAGTCATGATCCTAACTATTGCCTTCCAAGATTGTTATCTTTGACAGTCTTCTGTTAAATATGCCAATTCAGCACGAGCACTTCTGAGTAAGAGAGGTGGCCACAAACTGCTTGGCAAGAAAACGCAGATGCAGAAGGACAAACATAGCTGCAACTAACTCTGTAAGGCATACCTCACATCAGGAAGCATTACAAGGCATCTCCTAGCCCTGCTGAGGTGTCCCTCAAACGTCCCCCTCGCAAAGGTATTCCTAGACAGACCAATTCTAAAACAAGCAGCTGATACATAAGGGCGAAGAAAAACACTTTGACCATGCAGAGCTTGGATCTGTACAGCAAGGTTTAAGTTTATCTCTTCCTGTTGTACCACAGAAATATGCAAATTTCACCAACACAGACTCAGCAACATGACATTTACATATCTATTTTATCAACCTATATTTCAGCCCTTTATCAGTTCTTCCACACCGTATTTCTTCTTCCTCTCCCTCACTTGAAGAGATACCAACTTGCTGAACAATTAACTATAAAGGATATAAACCTGAAAGGCTGTTGAGTAACAAGCTACTTGCCATCTAAAATAAACTTACAGGCCACACCTCTGCAGACATCTTCCCTCTATTCGTACTTCAACACTGTTTTAAGGCTAGCTGGCTTCATTTTGGTCCAGGAATGTCAGCATGACCACAATGATTTCCATGCTTTATCTCTGAATTTCACTTCATTGTTTTCCTTCAAACTTATTTCTTCCTAGCCCCCTCTTTCTCACTTCACAATCGATGGGAAATCCCCTGCAGAAGAAAGGCTACGTTTTCTATTATGTCTGTACTAGCTACTATTCATTACAGAGTGCTTTGGTGCTGGTTTGATACTATGACACGCTGATGCAGTTATTAGCACTATCATGTACTCTGATGCCCTTCATTTCAGGTGGGCAAGAATATCAAAACCACACCACAGACAACCTTATAATAAAAGCACTACTTACTTAGCATAGCAATATTTCTGAAAGATAAATAAAGTACAGGTGCTGGCAGGGAGAATTATTCTTTCTGAGAAGAGGCAAGTGGATTTTTTGCTTCAGTTAACATTTCATCATAGCATGTTTTATGAGAGTAGCACAGCAAAAATTTGGATCTCTTTGGTTGCCTCATTTACTTTTGCATCAAATTCAGATGAAAAACAGAAGTTTATTTGTAGCATCCTACAGCTGCCACGCAAGAGTCACTTCCAACCAGAAATCTCCCTAATACTAATCAGGAAGACAAAAGAGACCACGTGCATATTAAAACCTGCTGTACAAAGTACTATTCATCTGGACACAGTCTAGATAATATTGTCCAGAAGAAATAAGTGGGGACTGCTGACTCACAGTTATGCACCTAGGGGCAGAATCTGGCAATGAATTAGGCAATACAGCTTTTCTAAAAGAAAAATCCTAGCCTTTCTTGTCAGAATAGACAGTGTTTTCCTTCCTTTTATTCAATTGTGTGCAGCCGGAGAATTCAACACAAAAAGACTGTTTTCCTATCATGATGTGCGCTCACGTGTTAATTCCCACCATCGCTGTCCTCTGCAAGGGGTACTTTCCTGCAGAAGTGTGGACATCCCCAGGACCCAAATGAGAAGGGTGCATGGGGATGACTCCGAGCTTGGCCATGGTGAGACAGAATAAGCAAGCTGCTGCACATGAAGAGGAGACCACACATCATAAACAGCCAAATCTTAATCCTACTCAATTGACTTTAAGGCCAACAAACATTATCATATTGATATCAGTGCAACATTTTCTGGAACTAGGGAATTAATAAAATAGAACTTTAAAAAAAATAGTTGTTCCCTTTAGGGAGTTAAATTAATAAAGTAAATGCAACCCAATTTTAGGTAGAAGCATGGCTTGATCAATCAGTAAATGTCACTGATTGTCTAGACAGGCATAAGAGGCTGAGAAATACACATTGTTCCGACTTCCCTGTTCCCTGGCAGCAATAAATGGACAACAATTACACGTGAAATTAAAGAGAGACAACTAAAACTGTAGAAAATATTTACCACAAGAAACTGTGAGGCCCCACCTGGTTTCCTCCACGGTTTGTCTTCAAAGGAATCTAAATCCACTTCTATAACAGGCAATCCATTTATATTCCCTGCGGCATCTAAGTCAATACCTTTGGGCTGCAACTTGGCTTTAGAGAGAGAGAAACCGTTACTACTTTTAATGCAATGTCTTTAATCCACTAATTTGCTGAGCAAATTACTCCAGTCAAAAATAAAGCGCTACTGTGAATTCATGGCTGGCTTTATAGCATGTAGGTAACCACAATCAACTTTTTAATAAAAATTACTTCAGTCACTCTATAAATAAATAGCCAGGGTATACAGCACTTGCAGTTGAACAGCAGAGAAGCAAATTCAACCCAGATTGGTACTACAGACAAACAGAGTAAATTATTAGAGCATGCATGAAATTTACCCCAAATGAAAAAGAATTCTTTTTCTCCCCAGGCAAAATATTTATTTTTCTTTCCCAAGATACACACATTTTCTCATAACAAGACTTTTTCAGGATCAGTCTTAAGTGGACTGTGTACTAACTAGAGTCAGAAAAAAAATCTGTCGGCTACAAAATCTTCAAGGGGAGTTTGTTCTTATTTTCCTCAATCAGAAGATACGTCATTTGCATAAAGAAATTGATGGAAGGATGCATATGAAGCCCACGAAAGGACAGTCTCATATATGAGGAAGGACATAATCCAAGTCTCAATATACAGTATAAACTAAACTGATTGGTGGGAAAAATTTCATCTACAGAAATATGCATAGGTAATACTCAAGGCCAGAGTTTGTTTCTTTTAGTATCTTACACTGCAAGTAGCTCAGTATACTGACCATAGAGTTAAAGTTCTTCTGCAGGCAATTTAGAATGTTTGGCCCCAGTGCAACAATATAGTTTAGAAATACTCTGGTTTTTTACTATAAAAGTAATAACCAATGTTTTTTTTTTTCTAGTTTAAATAGAATTATAATCAGCTTGTTCAATAATGGGCAATTAAATCACTCCATTGCACCCTGGACCCTCAGACTGTCCTAGGAGCACTTATCTTTAGGAAACGCACTTACTGTTCCTAGTTTAAATAAGATGCACTAATTTTATATCCTTCCAGAGACCAGGATTTGCAGCTACTCCAGCTGTGAGTGCCAGGTTAAGTGAAATATTGCAAAAGGCAAAGGATAAAAATAACAGCAATACCTGAAGCAGATGCTCCATAGCCTCTACCCGTTTTTAAGTTTAGATTCATAGGAGTTCCCCTATATGGAAAAGAATCACTACATTGGTATTTGAACAAATACTTGGTTGAAGATTTTCATGCAAAATATATTCAAGCCCCGACATCCTTCAGAGGATGCTTAGTTCACTTGGGTTTATGCATGCCTCTCTACGATTTTAGTACTCTCAACACCTTAGAAGTGAGATTCATTTGCCACGTAAGTTTCTCCAATCCTACAGAAATGCAGCAAACATACTTACTGACCAAGAACAGAACACAAGAGGATTGTCTCGAACATGAACGGAAAGGTTATTTCAAAGAGTGGTAGTCACCATTCTGCCCAGGAACGTACTTAGTATTTAAATGCAACTGAACAACATGGAAATCATAGCTGCACATAGCTCACAGAATGAGGAGAGAAAGGTAGAAGCAGATTTCGAAAAGGATATCTGCAAAATCTAGTGAGCAGCTAACGGATGGAGCATTGCTATTCAGAGTAATCCATCAGGCTGAAACCACCTCTACAACAAGAGAAGGAAATTATCCATGAAGTGGAAAAATTAGAATATGCTGCAAAGCACATGTAAGTCATTTCCTTAAGAGGAAGGCTGCTAGCAGCAAGCATGCTGTCTTATTATTTTTATTCAATGCAAATTAGGTAGAATTTTAAGTCAGTGACATAATTTCCTGGTTCGCAAATCCAGCCTCACCATTTCTGAATCATGAAAAATCAGACAGCTGAAAATTAGTAAATTCACAGCTTATGCAAATTCTTATCAATACAGATTTTGGTTCTTGAAGTTTTCACAGATGATGAGTTAAATGTAACTTCCGACCTTTGATTTTGCCCGATGAAGCATAGGAATTATTTGATTAATTTTCCAACAGAAGACCCACGAATTATCACTCCTATTTTATAGATGGATTCTCCAACAAGCATTGCAGGACAGAGCTGCCCATCAGCTTCTAATCCCATTCCGGTGTTCTAGCCATTACTCCCATGTCTCCGAGAAGACAGATCAGCTCTCATCCCCACTTTCAATCCCAATCAACCCTTTAGAGCTACCTCAGATCAACAATCGACACCATAATCAGCAATACATACATGTACGATGGTGCTCCCGTTTTAATGTTGCCAATAGTAACTTTCACATCATCATCATCACTGTCGCTATCGCTGTCATCTTCATCATCTTCACCACTTGGAAGGGCCTAGCAACAATAAAAGCACACAGGAGCTCATTAACTCATAAAATTGATAAATTCCCCAGGACAGTAAGCCAAATCTTACAAAGCTTAGATGATGAAGGACTATTAGAATGATTCTGATGTAAAGACATAACTTTCTACTGCACTCCAAGGATATAGAAAGTTGTCTCTGGAGGCAAAACCCATGGAAGTAATCAGCCTTCAACATAAATGGACAACTGCCCACAAAGAAACTGCTATGTCCTTTGAAGAAGTGATCCTACATGAGAACCGGGATAAGATTTCTTAAGGTGGGGAAGGTTTAGCTCGGTTCTAAGAATTTCATTATGTCCCACAGTTCCTCTCCCCTACTCTTTTTGAAAGAGCTAGGGCTTTTCTGACACATCTCCTTCACAGCTCTATGGCATGGCTCCACAAATAAAAATCACCAAAATACATTCACCGGGCTTTACCTAAGAACCTTGGAGCAAATAGTCTCTCACCACAACTTTTGCGATAGGAAGCTGCTGAGGAGCTCGGCTTGGCTTATTCAGCACAATCAGTCCCAAAGTCACTTAACTTTACAGCTGCCGATTCGACTCCAGTGCAGCACCACTGCCGGGGCACAAAAGCAAAGGAAGTCTTCCAGACATCCAGCAGTGCAGTTTTGCAAGATGCATGAGCTGAATTAACACCTCACTGCTACAAAAGGGTATGAGGAAGGTGTTCCTAACCCTCCCTCCTTTTCCAGGGCACACGGGTTTGTCAGAACTCTGCATGAGCCCTCCTGACATACCACAGCGGCAGAAAATAAACCCATCAAAAAGACTAGAGGAAGAGGGGGTGGAGAAGCAAGCAGCCTCCTACTCTTTCAGCACTGAGCTACTTGATTGTATTCTAAGAGGTCTGAGCCTGAATCATGATTCCCAGCACTTTGGACTTTCTATCCCAGCGTTTCCCATATTTTACTGACCCTCAAGAAGTCATACTAAATGTTGAGCTGGAGGTAACATCATGTTCTGCTTTTCCTGCCAGACTGCAGCATCAGAGGCCCTCATTTGCCTCTTCAGTGGGCATAAGCAATACTTAATTAGGGTTCACTACCCACTACACAAGGTAGGCTGAGAAGAGAAGCCTGTTGCTGTATTTAGCATTGGGAATTGACTATCAGTACACTCCTACAGTACAAATGTAATGTATTAGGCAGTACCAGCATCTGTACACTTACATCTTTTTATCCATCAGTATTGAGAAGCACAAAAATAACTATGTCTACCATTTGCAGCGGAACACATACATGTTGTGACATCTCTCGGTCTTCATTGCTGACAGGCCGGTTCTCCTGAGGAGCATCTTGCAAAGGATGAGAAGATTCTGCATGTCTAGTAAATGTGACAGATAAAAGAAAGTGGACAAGCCCAATCTAAAGGTTCACCTATAAACATTTCTAAAGCATTAGTCCAGGTGACTTTCACATAATGGCTTTATTCATGTAGTGTGTTTATTCTGCTGGCAGTTAGCTCAACTATATGACAAAAAATTAATCATCCTTGCTTGGCTTTGTTTTTGTTGGAAAGAATCCATTTAGCTTCCAAAGAGTACCTGACAGACAGCATGGCTGCCTAGCCAAACACCACTCAACACCTAATATATAAGTGGCAGCTATAATATCTTTCAGCTTTGGTTCAGCACAATCACAAGTGATAGGAATAAGACCATAATAAGCAAAACTTCACCTTGTCTTTAAGGATGCTAATAATTATACAGATGCAAGGGCATCTGTCCCATAGAAATTAAGGAAGGAGTGATTTTAGTGTTTCTACAAATAGCTTACATTAATGAGTAGTTAAAATTCAAAGAAGACAAAACAGATAGTTATCCACCCAGTCTTCTCATTCATTACAAATTTGTCCTAATGCAACAATGGTCAAGTTCAGATTTACCTCCATTTAAGGAGTTCGTACAAATGTTAACATTGTTTATTGCATTAGCCAAGCAAGAAATCAAATTGGTATACACATGCTAGAAAAGGGTATGCTAAGTGTTACAAAACTAAAATACAAAGATCTTGTAATGTTGTAGGTAAAACCCAGTAGAACTTCAAAATAATTCTGGCTTTTCAAAAGAGACAATTAGAATAGCCCAGGCCCAGGAAACCCAATTCTCCACCAGTACTTTGTGGGGATGTTGCTATTAATTTAAAACCCTATGTCGGAAAATGAACATACACAAGAGTATCTTCAAAAAGAAACATATGTAACACCTAACAGAATCCAAACACTGGTCAGATTAAAGCCATTTCAGAGGCGGCAGGAAAGGAGATACCAAACAAGTAAGACAAAAGATCACGCTAACGCAACTCAGAAAGCAGTTACTGAGCATAAAAAAAGAACAATTTGAGCAGTTACTGAAGGTCCCATATTAGAAAAGCCCCATATATGAAGAAATTCAACAATCAAGCCAAGATCAAAAAGAAGGGATGAAGCTTCAGCAGCTAACCAAGGAAGCACAGGTCCCATTTTGCCAAGTTCCTGAGGTGACAGCTGAAGATACTTTAAGTTATAAAAGGTAGCCAAGATGTCTAAGGGAAAATCAGCCTCTAAAAGTACTTCAAAGTTGCAGACATAGGCTATTACCTAAGGACCAAAAGATGTACCACTGGAGAAAATCTCACAGATGGCTCCAAAACCTTTTGCATTTTGTTTACCAAATCCAAGCGACTCATAACATTGACCTCAACCCCAGAATTTTCTTAAGAATCCCAGATGACTGAATTAAGGAAGAGTGACAAGTATTACCTTCAGCTTCAAGTCACATGAAGTATCTGTGGGTGTGCATTAAAATTTATGAATTGGAGTTCAAATAAACATTTGCTAAGTATTTTCCCTAACCTGTTCATTCCTGGGAAGCAAACAATCTGACAGGTCCACAGCCATCATCTGCATGCAAAAAAATGTCGCAGCTATTTAATTTCCCCAGAATGCCAACATAACCCTGTGTATTGCTGACGTAACAGCATCCTGCACAGACTGCTGGTACTTAATGCATCCTTTAGGCTAAGGAATGTTAACGGATACTGCATGCCGCACTACACTGATTTCTGCTTCATGGGTAGAGACAAATACTCTAGACAAGCCAGCAATGCATCCCTGGAACTGCAGCCCTCGACAACGTAGCAAACAAAGAGTCATTTTTCTTAAAACACCCCACAGCTCCTCATTTAGGAAGACTCTCATTGTGCAACAAAGAAAAGGGAAAAAAAAAAAGAAGAAAAAAAAAAAAGGAGAGCTAGCATGACCACAAATACTTTTCCTTCACGCATCTTGCAGTTATTGGAGACAGTTGCTGGAAATTCAGATTTTTAATCCTGTTTGTAAAGTAAAATTACATTCAGGTGAAAGTGACAAGGAACAATAGATTTATGCAAGTTAGCAGTAAATTTCTATCTAAACTAAAAGTTGTTCCTTCTCACAAAACTCATTTGATGGTTTTAGGTAACAGTTTACCAAATCTGCCTAAAACTTGTTTTTGAACAAGTTTTCATATTCCCTAAGCACAGGATACTTACTACAGAAGTAGGACAGTATCCGAAACAATCTCAGAAATTCCAGATACTGAATTCACAATGACCTTAAAGGACAATAAATATTAAACGGAACTTTTGAAGCTGCTGAGCACACAGAAGTCCAGTGAAGATCAAGTGTTCTGAAAACCATATTACATTTAAAAACGGCAAACAGACAGTATTTCTGCTGAGAGAAAACTCTGCTGGTGCAAAACACACTGCTACAAATATAGGGGAGTTATGATCAAGGACAGACAATACTTTCCATATAGAGAAAGCAAAACTGATCATTGAGTTGTCCCCAACGCTTTTATCTCAAAGTCTTACCCAAACCACATATTTCATAGATCTCATATAATTTGTTGATTTGATCATGTCAAGATTTTAACCTAGCCTCAAGGTTTTTAGCTTTTCCAGGCTAAAGCACAGGCCACAATTTTACCAATGCCAGGCCAGCACAAAGGCCAATCCTCAAGGCACCATTTTTCCCACGGAATTAAACTTGAAAACAGAACCGATTTAAAACTAATTGGGAAGGGGGGGGAAAAAAAGGGTTACAAGTTAGTTTTAAGTCAAATCAGTTGACTAATCCGGTTCACCTTCCAAATTCATAAATGCTGTGCCAGCCCAAGCGTGGCAGCTAGGATGACCCCATGGGATGGGAAAAGCATAGGCTGCTGCTTCTGGCAACAGCGTTGGTCTGAAACATTCATGAAGCTATGCTTAACATGGCTTGACCTTCTCTGCAGCATATATTGTTATAACGAATAAACAGTCTCTGGACTCACCCAGAAATTGGTCCATCTTCTTGCTTACCAGTGGTGTCATCTGCAATAATAATAATAATAATAA